ATCCAGAGGCAAATTCTTGAATTACCTGGGGGCTGACATAGCATTGCTGGCTCTCCGTAAACTTGCCACGCCGCTCCCCACAAATCTTCTTTATTTTTAATTATATATTTTATTAAATTTGTTTTGATTTTTTTTTTTNTTTTTTTTAAACACTCCTACCTGTGATAATGGTGCTGATAAGAGCAGAATTTATTTTGAAGTCAGGATGGTGTGAGCAGCTTTATGTCAGTAGCTGAGTGTCACTAGGAAGGCCCCACTAGCCAAGAGGACTGGGTCGAGTCTGGGGTCTGGACGCTGGTTATGCAAATATGCATAACCCACTTTCGATCGCAATCTTCTGCACCTATCCAGCAACACATCCAGGTTCAGGCTAATTGTCGTGCTGATGGGGCCTCCGGCCAGGAGCAAGAAAAGGGGATTTTTTTTTTTTTTTTCCCCAAGTGTCGAAACCACCACTACCTTTTTCTTTTCTCCCTCTCTCTCTCTTCAAAAGCGAGAAAGAAAAAGGGAAAATTGAAAATTGTGACCTTTTAGCCATAATTACATCTCATCTGGAAAAAAAGAAAAAAAGAAAGAAAAAAACATCTCATCTGGTATTAGGAGCCCTCAAAGAAGCATCCTTGATAAAACTGGCCATTTAAAAAAAAAAAAAAAAAAAAAAAAAAAAAAAAAAAAAAAAAAAAAAAAAAAAAAAAAAAAAAAAAAAAAAAAAAACTGGCCGCATACAGATCATGCACCTGATAATGGACATCGCTCCACTACTCACGAACTGTTCAAAATGAGAATGCACCTTCAGCTAGAACATGGGTACATACACCGCCATATTCTTTGTCTTTTGTTCATGTGGTGACTTGGTGGAGCAAGGCCCAATCTGTCGTGTCAGGCCCAATCTGTGGTGTCCAGAACCTACCTCCTCTCTCCCCCCCCCCAACATAACTCCATAGAATTATCATCGCTCTATGACAGGGAGCTATGTTCAGGTGCGAGGTCCACGAGCAAAGGGGTTTGGATACCACGCCTGAATGTGGACGTGTTTGTGGACAGGTGCAGAAAATTGTGATAACCTGCTTTTCTGCACCTCTCCAGAAATGCGTCCAGATTCACACGTGAAATCCTCTCTGCTAGTGGGACCTTGCCCCAGGGGCAATAAACTAGTGGCAAAGTTCACAATGTGTGCTAGGAAAAAAAAAAAAAAAAAAAAAAAAAGATAAAGAAAAAAGAAAAAGAAAAAGGAAACTTCACCCTGTGTGCGCTTCGCTACCCATAGAATATAACGGAGTATAGGATTTGAGCAAGTGTGGTTAATCTGCTTTTCTGCACCTCTCCACAAACGCGTCCACATTCACACATTAAATCCAGTCCTCTCTGCTAGTGGGACCTCGCCCTGGGGGCAGTACGGTAGTAGCAAACCTCACCATGTGTGCTAGAAAAAAAAAAAAAAAAAAAAAAACTTCGCCGCGTGTGCTCCCGGGGCCCAAGTCCCACTAGCAGAATTGAGTTTTCTCAACACCTGAATGTGGACCGTTTGCAGAGATGTGCAGAAATCGCGTAGAGTTTTCTCAAACGGCCAGTACCTCGCCTCGTATCAGCTGCGGGCCCAAAATTCAAGTGCGCGCACTACTGTTCCGCGGATGTATGTGGTCAAGTGCGCCCGCCGTTTCGCCACTTTATGCATCTCCGCATTAACCGCCGTGTTATTTTTTATCAAGCGGGCAAACGGACAGGCGGCTCAACCATACATCTCCGCGGACACGTCCAGATTCAGGTGTTGAGGAAACTCAACACTGCTATTGGGACTTAGCCCCAGGGGTGCTTCCACTAAGCCATAGAATATACCGTAGAATAGGATTTGAGAAATTCTGATTAATCTGCTTTTCTGCACCTCTCCACAAACGCGTTCACATTCACACGTCAAATCCAGTCCTCTCTGCTGGTGGGCCCTCGCCCCAGTGGCCGTAAGGTCGTAGCAAAGTTCATCATATGTGCTAGAAAAAGAAAAAGAAAAAGAACAAGTTCACCATGTTTGCTCCCAGGGCGCGCTTCTACTAGCCATGGGATATAACGTTGACTGGGATTTGAGCACCTTTGCGACATGTGTGTGTGTGTGTGTGTGTGTGTGTGCGCGCGCGTGTGTGTGTGGATGTCTGTGTGTGTGTTTTGAATTCATCAAAACAGCCCCTATTCCACCCAGAGGAGCAGATCCAAAATCAAAGCATATTCAATCCTTATTACAGACAATGAAAGCCCCCCTTGAGTTTAGACAACCCAACAATGAAACAGTTTCACCTCAAAAATAGCAAACAACATGAAGTACAAATAGAAACATGAAAACCCCTTTCTTAAATGTGTTCACATTTGCTTTCTTCAGGTACCCCTTTCATTTGTTCTTGAAGCTCCCCCTTTACCGTGCCTCTCATGCACAAGGCCCGCCACATTGATTGCGGTTGCGCACGAGCTGTGCCCACATCCCCGTGTGCCATAAAGGCCCACTTGCACACTGTGAAAAAGTGCACACTTTGGAAAACAAACGGTAACGATAAATAAAATAAAACAAAGATGAGGGGCACACACACAAACTAATCGTTCTTCTCATTCTTCTTTTTAACTCCCCCTTCACCATGCCTCTCACGTACAAGGCTGCCATGTTGATCAAGTTGGGCGCAAGCTGCCCACATCCCCCCCGCATCTCCGTGTGCCACAACGGCCCACATGTACGCTGTGAGAAACCTATCTATGTCTAGGTATTTCCGATGGATACGAAATAGCAACTCCAGAGGACGATAATTTCGATAAAAATAACTAACGAGTGAATGATGCGATGCATAAGAGAAAGAATCAGAGCATTACTACCCTCGGGGCTTTCCGGGAACTTTCCGGGAAGTATCTTGACCACAATGAACACCTGCCCTAGTACCTGACCCCCATTGCATATCTAGAAATCAGTTGAATATGGCCGACCGTCTTTGTCCCCAATAGAACGCCCAAACATTATCGCTGGTATCTGAACTGGAAGTTGCCCCAAATGGCGCTACTACAATGACCAGGCATTCTCCTCGGGGGAAGAAGGTAGTGTGAGCTTCCCCCTCATCAAACCCCTCCAGATATGCTGGAAATGACTAGACGATCAAATTCCGTTGATGCCACGGATTCCAAAGGGTAAAACTGTAAAACGTACACGTCCGTAACTGGAATACCCTTCCAATGCGGATGTTTCAGAACGATAGTGGCTCAACTCTGTAAACGTCAGTGGGCTCGCACTGTATTCTTGGGCAATCTTATTTTTGAGTTTGTTATTATTAATGGAGAAAAGATTGGACATTCTTCTTGTACGTATGAATTTTTGCTCTACCATTTTTACAGCACGACAGCTATCACACTCGCGATGCGTTACTACATCTCTCTCACTTCACTGTGGTGTGCGTGCTATCACACTCGCGATGCGTTACTACATCTCTCTCACTTCACTGTGGTGTGCGTGCGCATTGCGAGTGCGCAGGTATGTGTGCGCATTGCGAGTGCGCAGGTATGTGTGCGCATTGCGAGTGCGCAGGTATGTGTGCTCATTGCGAGTGTGCAGGTGTGCGTTCCTTCATGTGTGCGCATTGTGAGTGTGCAGGTCTGCGTGCCTGCATGTGCGTTGTCATATTCACTATACACAACTGTGTGCATGTGTGTGTGGATGCTTGTGCGCATGCATGCGTGTGTGCGTTGACGCAAACATGCCCTGGTTGGATGCACCATCCCTCCATCTGGCTACACTGCATGTGGACCGATACGATGTGACTACTGGACAAGCCACCACTCTAACAAAGAGAAAATTTCAGAAAAAGACAAAAGTCAATGCAACAGCTCTTTGTTTATTAGATGTTCCAACCATATCCTCCTTTATTGGCAAACCGAGAACAAGGAAGTGGGAAAAAAAAAAAAAAAAAAAAAGAACAAGGAAGTGGTTCAGAAAAAAAGAGGAAAAGAACAACGATTTGGTCTTAGAGGCCCCTACGCTGTCCACAGTCAGGACTCTGCTCTGGAACGGGCAATCCACGCTGCCAAAATTGCTTTGCACCATGCGTACGATCTGGAAGGACGTCCAGATCGCAGTGCAGATGGTCCAGGTCTGGATGTCGGGTCCCGTGTCCGGTCCAGAAAATAGAACCTTTTTTTTTTTTTTTTTTTTTTTCCCAATCCGGACGGTCCAGAGAAGTCCAGACAGAGGTTTTACTATGGTCAATGTAGTGAAAAAAAACCCTACCAATGTTAGTGTTGCTGATAAGAGCAATCATGCCTTTAGGCCTATTGTAGTGGAAGCTGTCTCTTTCAATGATTATGTTTCTTGGGTGACTAATAAATTAGACTAAAAAACAAAGGAGCGAAGCAAGGAGTACTACGAGTTCTCAAAAGCATTCTTATCATTTAGAGTCTGGATTGGTCTGTGTGTCTGGGTCCGGCGTAACCTTGCTTTGTACAGAATGAAGATGCTTTGAATGAGTGGGACAGGGCTCAGCAAAGTGTAATTTGTCTTCAACTTTGCGCATGGCGCAGACTCTGGACGATGACTTGTGTAGGACCACCTCTGTTGGTTTTAGGGCACATGCATCAGACACCACGATTCCGCGACTCTATGAATCTGCCTGTCTTTCCCCCGAAGACAACGCACCCTCATCATCGTGACTGTTTACGAACATGTTTCAAGTCTGTTCGTTCAGGGGGTTGGGCGCTGTAAGGACTAATGCCGATCCGTCAAAGATAGTAACTCTATGGCCAGCCTCATGGCAGCTGTCAAGACGACCACGAGGCCTCTGTCATTGCAGTTTAGACTCTGTAGAGTGTATTTTATTATAATAGTCTTTTGAAGATTCGAGTAGATTTCAATTCCCTTTCCATAGGAGAGATGGCTGAGCAGTTAATAGCCCCCGCCATCTTGAAACCTGTGTAGTTCTACAAACTACCAAGGGTTCAAATCCCTCTCTCTCTCTGTTTTCGAAACCATTAAAAAGGTTCCAGAAAAAAATTAAAATTCATTAAATACATTCTCAATGACATAGTAGACGTACTACATTCTCACCAGAGTCTGCAATCACCCAAGAGTGGAAGGAGACGAGAAGGAAATCAAGGAATCAATGGACAACCATGAGTTGTGTGTGTGTGTGTGTGTGTGTTGGCATGACAGGGCCAGACTGTTACGCCCGACTTTCACCAATTCATCAGGAGGCTGTGTGCATATGCATGAGAGGAGGGAAGGGAAGGGGAGAAGTGGTGGCGAACAGCAGGGGAGAGGAGGCGAATGGCTTATGTATGCCCCCCCCCCCACCCCCCTCTCCTCCCCACTTCTATTAATGGTTGTTATTGTTAGTTTATTTTCCATTTTAAAATTTTAAATGGCTGGTTGCTACAGCACTAATATACAGAGAACGTCTTGCGGTACCGAAGAGCCTAGCTCAGTGGGTACACACATGAACTGTTTTAAATTTAAATACAGACCAGGTGCTGTGTTCGAATCCAGATGATGGAACTCGACGAGTAAAACCAACTACTAATGAATTGCTTGGGGCCAGTCAGCTCAATGATAATATCTCAAGGCCGTCTTGCGGTTATGATATCTGTCACACACCCAGTCTCACACCACCTGCCCTCTTACTCCCTTCTAAAAAGTCCACAAGCTCCTTTCCTTTATCCACAAGTCCTTTGCGACTTCACCCTTATGGTGCTTCGGACTGCTTCCCATACCAAACAATAGAAAGATTTTACAAAAATAGATCAAATCATTTGACGTTTACAAAGTCAAGCCTGTTGTGGCGCATTCGAGTCACTTTTGGATATCGAAGCGTCCTACAGTCGACCCCCCCTCTTCAGTTTTTTGGACCCTTCCAGCCTCAGCGAGAGAAACCTTAAAAAGCCCTGATAGGATCTGGAGATTCTGAACCCTACCCCTATTAGTTAGCTCTCTGGACCCTTCCGGGACCCTTCAGGCCTCAGCGAGAATGCCTTAGAGCCCTATTAGGATCTGAAGTTCTGAACCCTACTGCTATCAGGTAGTTTTTTTTTTTTTTGGGGGGGGGGGGGGGGGGGGGGGGGGGGATTTTTGTGACTCCCTTCCCCCATAGCCTCCGATCCCCCTTCCTCTCCCACCATATCCACTTCCCTGGTTGGGAGTGGTGGTGGGGCCTTTTTTTTTGGGGGGGGGGGGGGGGGAGGGGGAGGGGTGGTTCATCAACCTTATCGTAGTGGAAGGCAATCCATACAAGCGAAATCGCACGCGGGAAAGTAGAGGGCACACTTGCAATTTGAAAGTGCATAAAGGGGAGTTGAGAGAAATCTGCACAAAGGGAAGTCGAGGGTAATCTGTTCTAGGGGAAATAATATTGCTGCGGAATGATTTGAATTTTGAAGTCCTAAGATCTACAACTGAAAGTGACATGTTCCAATCAATCTTCTATGGCAAAAAAAGATTTGAGAAACCCGAAGAAAGAAAGAAAGAAAGCTTCCATGAGACAGTTTGGACAGAAGAGAGAGAGAGAGAGAAAATCCTGCAGACGGAAAAGTGAGATCCCGGATACACGCATGAGAACGAGAACGAGCACCAGAAGAGAGAGAGAGAGAGAAAATCCTGCAGACGGAAAAGTGAGATCCCGGATACACGCATGAGAACGAG